AGTCCTGAAATGTTCAACCAGTTAGGAAATCCTGGATGTGAGCAGGACCCAGGGATTCTGCAGCAGATAGGTGTGACTGACTAGGCCCCTGGCCCTTCCGCTACCCTGGGCCTTCCCTCACAGCCACAGATGAGGTCAAGAGCTCCAATGGGAGGGATCTGTTGGATCCCACTGCCAGCCCAAATGAGAGTCTTAACGTACCAGTCACCCGTCCCCTGACCCCAGGGCCCTCCCAGGCCAATGAGAGCTCCAGAGGGGATCAGTTGGCCCATGCCCCTGGCAGTTGTCAAAATAACTAAAATGTCCAAGACCAGGTGCATTAACCTTGCTGTGCTGAGACACAATACCCAACGCCCACAATTTAAAGGAAATTTAATTTTGCTCACAGCTTCAGGGGATGCAGTCCATGATCAACTGGTTCCAAGAAACATTAAGGCAGAAGGGTATGTCAGAGAAAAGATGCTTAGTTCATAGTGGCTGGGAAGAAGAGCTGAGGTCAGGCAGGAAAGGGCCAGGGACCATATATACTGGTGGTACTCTAGATCATATCTCCATGATCCATCCAGACACATCCAGAAGTGTGTTTTACTATCCCACAAGTCAATCAAGTTAATCTTTTTTTTTTGGGGGGGGGTACTGGGGATCAAACTCGGGACCTCAGGCTCACCAGGCAGGCACTGTGCCACTGAGCTACATCCCCAGACATCAAATTAATCTTTTTTTGTCTTGGTTTTTGGGGTGTGTGTGTGTGTGTGTGTTCTGGTACTGGGGATCAAACTCTGGACCTTTTGCTTGTGAGACAGGTGCAGGGCCACTGAGGTAAATCCCCAGCCCCATGTGTGTGGTTTCTTTTGAGACAAGGTCCCGCTATGTAGTCCAGGCTGGCCTTGTACTCACTATGTAGCCTAGGCTGGCCTCAAACTCATGGCAATTCTCCTGCCTCAGCCTCCCAAATGCTGGAATTAGAGATGTATGCCACCATGCCCAGACAAATTGAATATCTTAACATAGCACAGCAGGAAAGTGGATAAACAACATACCATATAACCACACTATGGTTTATTATTATTTAGGAGAAAAGAATGAAGTTCTCATATCTGCTATAATACATATGAACCTTGAAGACATATAATAAGTGAAAATAGGCATAGTTTTCAGTTTATAAAGATGGAAAGCGTGTTGGAGATTGGTTATACAACAAGAATGTATGTGACACTACCAAACTGTACACAATACCCAACACCCACAACTTAAAAGAGAGGTTTAATTTTGCTCACAGTTTCAGGGGATGCAGTCCACGGTCAGCTGTATGCAAAGTAGACACATCATGACAGGAAGCCATGGCAGAGAAAAGATGGTATTGTGTCCCAACACAGGAAAGGGAACATCTGCCCTTGGTTACAGTGCAGTGGGGCTGTAGTTCAGTGACAGAGCACATGCCTGGCATGGGAAGCTCTGAGTTCAATCCTCAATGTCCAGTAATAATAATTTTTATGAGACAGGGTCTCACTGTGCAGTTAAGATTGGCCTTGAATACAGAGTTCAAAAATAAAGAAAGAAATATTTAGAAGGAGGCCAGGCATGGCTGGGCACACCTGTAATCCCACCTGTTGGGAGAACTGGGGCAGGAGGATAGCAAGCTTGAAGGTAGCTTGGGCAACCCTGCCTCAAAATAAACAGGGTGGGGTGTAGCTCAGTGTAGAGCACTTGTCGGGCATGCATGAGGCCCTCAGCTCAGTCCTCAGTGCTGAAAAAGAGAGGAAAGGGTTGGATACAGTAGGGACATAGCAGGTACACAGGCGCTCTCAGAAGAAGTGGACACCCCAGGTGACCGTTACAGCTGTGCTGGCCCAGAAGCTACAGAACTACTTATTTAAACTTTGAGGCAGACAGTGGGCTCCAGGCACCCCCTGGTGTCATTGTGTTGACTCAGCCTGAGGTCTGCCTCTGGCCAGCCTCACACCCCTAACCTCCTACCCCAGCCCTTGCCCAGAAGAGGACCCACTGTCCTGGGTACAAGAGGAGGTTTCTCCAGGGTGACCTGGCCTAGAAGAGTCACACACCTGACTTGAGCTGCTTCCTCCATGCTGAGCTTGCCTTGCCCTTTGCCCCTTACTCCAGCCTCATCTTTTAAGGGCCTGCCCATGATACTGTCACCATGAGAGACCTGCACAGACGCCACTTCCCACAGCTCCTGCCACACCTGAGGAAGCATGTGGGTATCACTAGTCATCAGACCTCTGCTACCCGTGGGCAGGGCCATGTGTGGCCTGGATTGCTGTGGGTATAAAACACGGCACACCTGGGTGCAGGAACTCAACTAATACCTAGAGAATAAATAAGTAAGTGGATAAGGGAATGAATGACTTCCAAACTTCAGGTAACTCCCTCAGCTACCTACAGTTTGGGGCTGCCCTTGAATGTTGCCGGATCTAGACCCTCCAGTGCTATGACCCCTCAAAAGTGGCCTCTCCGCTGGGCATGGTGGCACACGCTTGTAATCCCAGCACTTGGGAGGCTGAGGCAGGAGGATTGTTGTGAGTTCGAGACCAACCTGGGCTACACAGTGAGTTCCAAGGCAGTCTGAACTACATAGTGAGACCCTGTCTCAAAAAACAACAACAACAACAACAAAAGTGGCCTCTCCCAGTTCTCACCTGAGTCAGAAGGACAGAATCCCTCTGACCCCGTGATGAGTGGCCAGCCTCAAACCTATCCCGAGACCTGAGTCCTGGTGGCTGTACTGGCTTCCCCATAGAAGCCTTGGAAGGAGAGCCTGGTGGGGTACTTGAGTATAAGCAGGCCTCTGTCACTGGCACGGCGTCACCCCCTCCTTGCTGGCGTTGCCCCATGACACAGGTGCTGTCAGGCTGAGGGCTCTGATGCTGCTTCCACGGTGAGCTGCACCCTCCCTGAACAGGGCCAGGAACAGGCAGCCCTACCATCTGGCAGGGACACAATGGCAAACAGGTGGCTTCCCCATAGGGTAGAGGGCACCAGGAAGGGAATGCTGGGGACAGACAAGGGGCACTCCTGACGAGGCAGGGAGCTGGTCCAGCCAGAACCCCCAGAACACACCAACAGAAAGCAGTGCCTCAAAAAAAAGAAAGCGGGGGGCGGGGAGAAAGTGCTGGTGGGGGACAGGAGGACAAAGGAACTCTGAGCAAACCCAGACTGTAAAAGGTGGATGGTAGGGAGGTAGGCAAGGTCAGCCTTGTAAGGTTTGGGCTTGGCCTCAAGGAACCAGTGCACAGAGCCCCTGAGGACACAATAAGTAAGCCCAGAGAAAGGTCAGGTCTCGCACTTGCCCGTGACCCCCCAAGCTGGATGTCACATTTCACTAGCAACAAGACAAGGTAGAGATGTGGCGACCTGGGGCCAGCCCTCCTTCCTGTGTCCCCAGCTGACCCCATCACATGTAGGCCCCATCCAACTAGGAATATGCTGGGTCTGCTCTGGCTGACTAGGGAGAGTGATGTATTGCTTGTTAGAACTGGTGGCTGGGAAGAGTGGAGAGAGTTTTCACCTTCGAGGGACAGGAGGTACAAAGACCACCCACTAATATGTTCTAGTGACACCCACCTGGGACAACCTGCCTGGCTTGATGTACACAGCCTCAGAATTCAAAAGCCGCCAGCCTCGGGAAGGAGCTCCTAGAGATCCCACAAGTCATCACTGCCACCTCTCCCAGGCAGGCTGCGTAGCCTCTGGTCCTGCCCGTCTCTGTAGAATCTGGCCTGTCCCACCTTCAGGCCCCCCACCTCAGGGCACTAGGAAGCAAGATCCCTATTTTGGGCGTTTTTCTTCCTTTGCCAAGAAACACCCCTAAACAGACACACACCTTGCTTCTACTAAGGAGCCTAAAATGCAGCTGCCGATTGATTTGCAACCAAGCTAAAAATAGCTGCTGGCTCCAGCCAGGACGGGGGAAAATATCCCATTGCTAGGAAACGGCCGTTGCTGGGAGACCGCCATCGCTAGGCGACAACATGTGTTGCTGCGGTGACAGCTGGGCCCTGAGTCATCTTCAAGCCTTGACAGGGGGCGGGCCAGGCCAGAGCAGTAGTTGAGGGCAGCAGAGAGACCACCGCTCTCACCTTCAGCTACCTGGGCCACACCACATCTGCGATGCAAAGTTCTCATTCCATGACATGTCTTCTGGCAATGGAGTGAAGAAGGGCAGCCAAATATCCTCAGCCTGGTGCCCATCTGCCTGTGCTGAGTTCTCCATTTTCTGCCTCTGGGCAGGGGTAGTGGAGGACAGAGGGCCCATCTGGCCCCAGGGTGAATCGCTTTGCAATAGGGTGGGAGAAGATACCTGGCCCCCACTCGGGGGAGATTTGGCTCAGAGAGTGGCTCCAGGGTACATGTCCCACCTCAACAATATGCCTGAGGACTCCCTGTGACAATTCTCAGGGTCGGTTCAGAGTCCTCACCCTGGACCTAAGGGGCCACATGGGGCCACCTTCAGCCCCTGATGTGGCAGTGATCCCCTCATTGCCCTCCTTTTGAGACCAGATGAGCCAGAAGCTTCTGATCCTCAACCCCTGACTCCAGAGCTGGGACCTCCACCAGCCTAGACATAGAAGAGTACTCTGTGCTCAAGCATCAAGACAAGGGGTGCTCCGGGTGAGGGGATCCCCAGGTGACATATGCTTCAGGTAAGGGAACCTCAGGGCTGGGGATGTAGCTCAGTGGCACCACACCTGCCTGGCAAGAGCAAGGACCTGAGTTTGATCCCTGGGATAAAAGCAGGGGTTCCCAGATAATTTGCATTTTGCCGGGGATTTAACTCAGTCGTACCTTGTCTGCCTCACAGTGCAAGGTCCTGAGTTCAATCCCTGGTACTGAAAGAAAAAAAAAGTAGATAAGGGAGTTTCCAAGTGAGCGACTCTTCTGGTGAAGGGTGCTCTTTTTTGTTTGTTTTTGTTTTTTTTTTGTTTGCTTGCTTTTTTGAGATAGCGTCTCACTCTGTAGTTCAGACTGCTCTGGAACTCACTGGGTAGCTCAGGCTGGTCTCGAACTCACAGCAATCCTCCTGCCTCAGCCTCCTGAGTGCTGGGATGGGGTGCTCTTGTTGAAAGGGTATTCTAGGTGAGATGTGTTCCAGGTGAGGGAGTCTCTAGCTGAAGGGTTGTGCCAGGTGAGGGGTGCTGGGAGTGAGAAGGTTCTTCAGAGAAGGGCTGTTCCAGATGGGATGTGGTCCAGGAGGGAAGGTGCTTCCACTAAGGGCTCCTGCAGGCGAGATGAGCTTCAGGGGAGGGGTGCTTTACGTGCTGTTGGGATTCCCCCAGGACTATGGAGGAAGGGATCATCCTCACTGAGCTAGGCTGAGCAGTACCCCCACACTCCCCTGAGGGTACTAAAGGCCACTGATCAGCCAAACCTCTGGGGGCTCCCAAAAGGCATCTGTCAAAATGGGCCATCCTCCACAGAGGGGGTCCACACTCCCAGTGAGGCAACTTCTTATGCTTAAGCACCTGCCCATCCCACTCACTGCACATGTGTCCAGCACCTATGCTGTGCTGGGTCCTCAGGGGCACGGGAACGAGAAGAGAAACCTACCTGGGCCTTCTGGGTGCTGTCAGCCAGCAGTCCACTGGGACACAGTCTGAAAAGGGGTGGTGCCCGGTGTTGGGAAGGCATGAGAAGGAAAGCTCCATTTGCCAAGGAGAAAGATATTTGCCAAGTTCTGAGGGGCAAATAGAACCATCCAAGTTCAGGTGGCAGAGCTGGGCATGGCATGGTGGCACATGCCAGTAATCCCAGCACTTGGACGGCTGAGGCAGGAGGTTTGCCAGAAGTTCAAGGCCAACCTGAACTACATAGTGAGACCTTGTCACAATTAAAAATAAAAAAAGTGCAGGTGGCAAGGGGATGCTACAGGTGAGGGACGTGGCAACCTCCTGGCCCCAGAGGTTGGCCAATGTAGCAGAAGTTCTGAGAGCTGGGTTTAAGGGAGGCTGTGGCCAGCGGTGGTAGATACAAAAGGCTTTGCAAAACACAGCAAAGAATGGATGAGTCCTGAACGGGACAGGACTGTGTTGTAAAGTGACCTCCTGAGTCCTGAGAACAAGTTGGGGAAGATGGAGAGACCAGTGAAGAGCAGCTGCTGACAGCCATGGAGAGAAACAAGGGTGCCTGGTATGGAGAGGTTCGCAGGTGCTGAGGAGGCAAATCAGGCCTCTCAAAGAGTATTCACCAAAACCCCTCTGAATAAGTACCATCGTTGCTCAGTTCTTTGGGTGCTCTTTCCAAGCTGTGTGACCCAGATGTCTTTCCTGACTTCCCCCAGGCCCAACTTGGGTGAGTTTCTTTGCCCAAGGCAGGGTACTAGGTCTCGCCACAGCACAATTTGCTCACAGCCTGATGGGGAACCCTCTCTGCTACTTACCATCCACACGTGCTGAGAGGAGATGGTGGCAGCTGCTGCCCAAAGGTAAGAGTGGCAGGTCGAGTGGCAGCTCTCTCATCATTCCGGTGTCTTCAGAAGTTTCATTCTCTCTGTCCCACACCAATTTACCTTCTTTATCCAGATCCAGGCAAGGCCATGAGTGTCCGAGCCCAGCCACAGAAACGGCTGCCCTTGTCCAGAGCCCTATACCAAGGACAGAACAGCCAGAACCCCACCAGGGTCCAGTCAGCCTGGCTTCTTTGACCCAGTGTCCCCAGGTCTCACTCCAGATCCACTAGGCCCCCCTTCCCCCTTTCCAGCTGGTTTCTTTTTTTTCCTTTTTTTTTTTTTTTTTTTTTTTTTCTTAGTGGTTTTTTTTTTTTTTTTTTTTTTTTTTTTTTTTTTTGTACCAGGAATCAAACTTGGGTCCTTATGCTTGCAAGGCAGCCAGTGAAACCACTGAGCTAAATCCCAGGCCCATCTGTTTTCATTTCTATTAAAACACTCTCAGCCCTGTGGCTCTTCCCTTGTTTCAATACCTGGCTCTGGTCTTCCCACACTTCCTCCCTCCCCTGGCTTTGCTCCCCAACAACTCCAGGACAGGGCACCATCAGGCCCTGTCATCTGGCTCTGAGCCTCCTGGGAGGTGTGGCATGGACAGTAGCCCTGACAAGAATCCTCCAGTGTAACCTCATGTCCGTCCCTGCTCCAGTTGTGACTGCCACCCTCTGGCAGTCCATCCCTGAAGGAACTTGTCAGGCTCTTTAAGGCCTTAGGACCTTTGCATACCCCTTCGTGAACCACTCCTCCCTCTCACCCATGGGGTTTCAGCTGGCATATTATGTCCTCAAGAGCTACCACCACCTTCCCAAGGCCACTGTCACACACCTTGTACTTTTATTGTCACCCTCTGAAGTGATCTATTTAGTCATTCATTTGCATGGTTCTGCAGGTATAGGGCTTTCTCCACCAAGGGGGCTCCAGGGCCTGGCCCTGCAAGTGCAGGAGGCATGTGAGGGCCAGGGGGCCTGGCCTCCCGCTTGGGGTAGGAGCCAGAGGACAGTGGTTGGACTCTTGCCTCTTCAAGCGGGGACTCCCTTTCCTTGTCCTTGCAGGTGACAGTGCTGAGGCAGGACGCGTGGAGCCGGCCTCCATCCCTGTTGGATCGAGCACCTCCCAGGCTAAGTGCTGGCTCCAGAAGCCCCGAGTTCTCTGCGCGCAGGGTTCCAGGTCGCCTCGCTGGGCGCAGACCGGCTGCTTCTCTCTGGCCGCTCGCCCCGGCCTCCGCTGCCCCGTCCTCTCCGACGATCCGCCAGCCGCGTTTGTTACCCTGCGGGCGCCCGCGGC